TATTTAATACTTATATTAGTGTATATTTCATTTATTATTGAGTACAATATCTGCTTGAAAATTACAGAAGTAGAAGCAATTCAAAGCAATAAATTATGCATATGGAGCAGATATTATGTAGATCTATAAAGAATATATATATGTATACGAAATGAGATATGTTTAATTAATTATTGAATGCAATTCGTGTTGAACAATTTGCCCTTTCAAGTCAAGTCTTTCATCAAGTCAATTGATGCAATGAATACTTGACGTTACTACAAATAGAGCAGACAGTAAATATATTTATATACAAAAACTGTGTACATATATATTTACAGTCTATTATTATATAAATACCATAACGAGCGATTGAAAAGTGCAAGCAATTCATTTGCTCCTTGGCATCCACTTCGAGTTTGGCTCGCTCTGGCTGGCTTTATGATCGATTCGGCTTTTGTGTGTGTTTATGTGGGGTCCGGGGATCGTTTGTCTTTATGGCTGCCGAGCAGCGCCCGCCCCTGCCCAATTGTGCTGCGAAGGTTTTTATGATCCTTAGGCAGCGGCGTCAAACTATTAGCACTTCTCGCCCAGCACGCGCAGCCGGCGGGAGAGGCAGCTGCATGGAGTCGCAGTCAGAGTCAGAGTCAGAGCTGCAGTTGCAGTTGCAGTTACTGTCCAATGCCTCCACCTGCCTACCTGCGATTGCGCAGGGCAGAGCAGGTGATTGCTGGCCTTGGCCGGAGACCAGGCAGCATCAATGGGCCATCGATGCATTGTGGCTGGCCGCTTAGCTTAGTTGATCTGAGCCAACTAACTCAATGAACTTTGGCCAGTGTGTGGTGCTGAGCCGCCGTTTAGCCGGGCTAAGCAGCCCACAAAGTAAGCGCTCAGTCAGTCACTTGGCCTGCACTTGTCGCTGCTCAGCCACTCAGCCACTCAGCCACTCAGTGGCTCATTGTGGCCATCTATGTGAGCCGTAATCCTCGCATTGTTGCGAGCGGCTTTACGCAAATTTACTTTTTAATGCCGTTGGCTTGTTGAGCCGCGTATTAAGCCAAGCTCCGTTTAGGGCGCTTAGTGGCACCTTTGCGGCCCGGGGATTAGCGCAGCCAAAAACGGAAGCTGCCAAACTCTGCCAAATGGCAAGTTTTAGCTAGACAGCCGCTGCTGCTGCTGCTGCCGCTGCCTCTGCTGCTGCTGCTGCTGCTCATGTTCTGCTGACCAGGGCCAAGTGTTGACACACAAATGGATTATAGACCGGACCTGCAACAAAAATATTTGAATATTATGCTGCTGCCGCTGTGGCTAAGCCGTTT